AACTGGAATGATGTAACACGCGAAATTCTGATATCGATTATAAATAGCAAATCAAAAACGTTTGACATAATGGAACATTGAAATGATAAGTCTCGCTGAACTATCTACAATCTATCAACATGTGTGAAAGGAAGTACAGAAAACAGATATTTTGTTTCAAGAGCGGCGATCAGGGTTCGAAAGCTTTCTCGAATGCTGCCTAGGTAGATGAATGATGTACATCTTGTCTCTTCTATCTTTGTATCTTGTCTAGGCCCTACCGACCGTTTTCGAGAAAACAAATAATAATCTAAAATATGCGTCAGATCACCAAGTTTGGTGGTCCCTGGCTGATGTCTTGGATTTCGATCTTGATGCAGTTTTGCCTTGGAGGTGTTATTACATTCATTGGGTGCGTGTCTAGTGAATTCAGTATATGAAAAGCTGATTGGGTCATGTGATGATGGTCAAGCGTCAATAAACTTACCCCTCGATGATGATCAGAATGAATTAATCCATCATCCACCCTCGAGTCACTTACGGAGTCCATCTTCTTTCAGATTCGAGATGGGAGAAAAAGAAAAAGCGATCCACTGCTCCTTTATTAATTGACCAGGAGAATGCCAAGGTTTCCGTTCGTTGTGGGGATGAGGATTGAGAATTTGGAGTAAAGGAAGAAAATAGCCGCAGTCGCATTGATGTTGAAATTTCCCGTGGCTGATGAACTTGAATCAAAGAGTGGGCACTGGAGAGTGGGTGTGGTGTGTTCAGTTATCAGATCTGTTGTTTGTTGATTTGTTGAAGAGTGAACTAGCGACGAAGTAGGCGTGGTAGTCTACAAGCCAATATGCTGCTGGTAGTCGTTGGAGATGCAGCTAGGAATGCAGATCGACCAAAATAGACTCGTATTGCGAAAAAAGATACAATTTATTAGGTACGATGAATTTGATGGTGGCAGTGATGGTAGTGAAAAAACTCGAATACGAAGGCGATAATGGATCAATCATACGAAATGGTAAGTTGTTTGAGTCATGAGATAATAAGTATCTCAGAAAAAGAAAACCTGAGTTCTGATAGCTTTTTGATAGCTTTTTATGGTTGTGATATCTGAAGTTCTTTTGTCTTTCTTGCTGTTACTCCCCCCCGGACCCTTAAAATTAGAGTTGCTATACCCAAGCATGCCAATGCTGGGCACAGAAGCAAGTCGCTCAAAATTGTCCTAGTTTTTCCATTCTTCCATACCTGGAGGCGTTTCCTTATGTTCACTAAAAACAATGTATAATATGGTGTGGCTAGTATACACCCTAGAAAAGAACAATCGAACCTGCGTTTAGCATAGCAAAAACCATGAGCAAGACAGTGGATCTTTTACTCCGTTTGTTTACGTTTCGATCCGAGCTCATCTGTGATTGGGGAAGCGAAGTAAGACATTTAAAGAAAGTCCGGGGTATACGTACTTACATCCAATATTGACGTGACGAGTATGAGAAGAATCGAGATGGCTTGGACATGTCCATCTTACTAGGGCGGGGAAATGAGCAAGGTTTCATCCAATTCCAGTGCGTTGCCATGGTTGCATTTGGCTTGGGGAACCTAGGCAATGAACTACGGATTGGTTGTTACGCGCCTCGGGCGAAATTGAATTAGATATAAATAAGGTGCAAAGTTGCACTTGGGGAAATTGTTGTACTCCTTTGATTTTTATTCTTTTACAAGTGCAATATCCTCATTCTCTCAACACTCTTTCAAGCATTTATCTACTCTGATTTTTGATCTCAAAATAATCATCTCAAAGTTCTTGTCAAACATACTCAATCATCCCCAACAAATTCAAAATGCGTTTCCAAATTCTCGCTGCTGTTCCTCTTCTCTCCTTGGCCGTTGCACAATCAACATCGGTCACTGACAGCACCATTACAGCCCCCGCCACCGTGCCCACTGCAACCGGTACCGCAGCCAGCACCGTCTCATCAGACATTGGTGCCTTTTCCAAAGCTGTTCAACAAGATGAATCTGCCCTCTCCATCCTCTCCGCTCAACTAGCAACCGAGACCAATGCTGGTCAAAAAACGCAACTCAGCGCTCAAATCTCCCATCTCACTGTTCAACTAGCAGGTCTCAGCTCTCAAGCATCAATCGCCAGTTCCATCTCTACCGCAGGCGCTGCTGACGCTTCCGCCAATGCTATCTCATATATTTCCAGTTTGAGCGCTATAGCAGCTACCGAGACAAATAGTGCAATCAAGAGTCAATTGAGTGTGCAGATTAGTCAGATTAGCAGCCAAGCAAGCTTAAGCTCTGCAAGTGCCAGTCAGAGTGCTCAATCAACCGGAAGTGTTGTTGTTACTACTACAGACAGTAATGGAAACACCGTTACTTCAACTGCTAGTGCTACCGCCAGGGCCTCTTCGAGTGGAACCTCGAGCGGAAGCTCGAGTAGCAGCAGTGCAGGTGCCATGGCTACCAGGATTCCAGCTATTGGAGCTGCGATTATGGGAGCTGCTGCTTTTTTGTTGTAGAGTGATGGGTTTGGAAAGAAATATGAGGAGGAATTATAATGTGGGAATGAATTGGTGTAATGGGAATGTGTTTGTAATCGTGTCTTAATGGATAGATTGTGGTGGGATGCGTCGACACGATTTCAATGATATTTCTTTCAATGTATAATACATTCGGGAAGATTTTTGATACCTTAAAATGCATTTGTTGGGTTATTGATTGAAGATCTTTATTGACTGACTGACTGCTTCCCCTTTTACTCCCGCAACTGCGATCCAATCCTGTCGTTAAATGAATCATTGAATCTTTCATTTCCTGAGTTAGCATCATCAAGTCCAAGTGGTACAATTTATTATACTATTTATGGGGTTCTTCCCATCTATTTCTGCTGCTGATATACATTGTTAGTGATATGGGGTTAAGTGGAATATGACAATCTGTCTACAACATAACCAATGCCCAATTGCGTGTTTACATTCATCATACCATGTAAAGACACATAATTATGAGTCTACCGTTCTATCATCTCAAATTTGTTACATCACAAAAAGGTTTCCTACAAGAGCAATCTTCAGAAATTTGCAGTGGATGCAACTGCCATGCAGTTTGTTCCAAATTAAAATTCCATCGTTTAGTTACAGATCTCTCATATTTACTCTGATAGAATGAAAACAAGGGAGAATGTCCATTGATCCATACTAATCATCGATAGTTGCAATGACTGTCGCCACGTTGTGGGCTCTGTGAGTTGGCTTTGGCTCCCTTCATCAATCAATTATGCTACATGCTCTCTCCTTCGATCCGTAGCATTTCAGTCTCCAAAGACCATGACTACAGGCGATAGCGATAACAGCGAACAAACATATAGAGAATTTTCAACATCTGCTTGAAAGATATTTTAACCAGGACTCTCGGCTCGCTCTTTGATCTTAGCAATCTCCATAACGACTAAGTTCATATTCTAACGCTGGCACTAGATACTCTAGTGGTCGTTGTGGACCCGCTCACCGACATGAGTTCACACATGCAGGAACGTTAGAATTCATATCCGCCGCTAGTTTCATCAGGATCATCAGGATCATCAATCGTTTTTGTCTTAGACTTTCGACCCACTTTCAATCCAAGACATCATATCATATACGGACTAAGATTTCACACGTTTTAAGCATGTATTTTAAGTACCTAGATATTTGTTGCTTGTATACAAGTTAAATACGTATTTAGATGTTGTATTCAATAGATCGTGGGCCTTTGCGAATGTCTGTTCACTGTCATTTTGCTTGATCCTCTCCTGATTCAATTTACTCCCTTTATTAGATACATCTTCGCAGGATTATCAACGATGAATCTCATCTTAATTCAACTTTCTGATACACCTGTAGTTTTCATAACAAAGGCCCGTTCTCCTTAAGACTTTCTTTAATATTCAATAGACTCTGAGGTCTCTGCAGCCGATTTTCACGAGTAAGACATCATAATAAGCGTTATGAAGGGTCTATTGCCTTGAAATGAATGAAGATTAGAAGGTCGTCCAAATTGGGTATAGGGTGTTTCCTCACAATCAGATGGAAACTTGATACAATATTCAGTTGGAAAGACGCAAAAAGATTCATGTAGTTAATAACCCTTGATTCCACAGTCAGTTCGATCACCTGATTTCAAGGCATAAATCTAAACGATGACCTATTGTTCGGACAGTTTTATCAATATTCGGTTTGTAGTAAAATCCCAATGCTTGAAAAGACTGCAGACACTGAGATCTCATACCGGCGTGTCATGGAGTAACACTGCAACCTGAGAACTCTACCTCACAAGATATTCAAAAGCGTCAACTTCAGAATCGAATACACGAAAAATACATTTCGCGTTGGAGGTCTGTAGATAAAACGTTTTATTCACAAGCATATACCTTTCTACAGTAGGCTAATTCAAACCTAAGCAGATTCAATCTCAGAATCATATAGTGATTCTTTTTGATTAGAATCAGAATGAACACCAACTCATAATATAGAATAAATCAATCTTCTCTAAGAAATCAACCCTAGAAGCAAGAGATCTTATACCATTAGTTTCCACTCTCACTCAATTATATAATCAACAATTAAAGCTTCTAGGTCTCCTCGATTAATTAGCTAACCACCCGATCTATTTAAATCTTATATTGGTCTAGGACTTTATAACTAAGGCCTACGATTTTAGCGATTCTATATGTGATCATCTACAAGAAGATACCTATTATAATGATCATCCAAGCTTAAATAAATATTCAGATATTCGTTCTGTTATAAACATAATAAGAAAATACTAAAAAAGTAATGAGGAATAGAAGTCTCAAGCTTCTATATTAGTTTCATTATGTTCTCTTTCTTCCTCTTCTCTGTCATGAGATCACTTATGAGAGTGTTCAGAATCTTTACTACTGAGCTATAAGCCGAAAAGACTAAAAGATGGAACTGAAATTTTCATCTTACTCTCGAGCATATAATACGAACAGAAAACAGGCTAGGGTTTTTATCACTCTGTGATATAATATATACAATGAGAATTCAGATGAGTATTTATATTTAACTTATTTTTGTTGATAATATTGATCCTGTTGCTATAGGGCAAGGATTAATGTCCTTTCTGCAGAAACCTACCTCTATTTAAGAGGCACAAACAGATTTCATAGTCCTACAAAATTGATAGTAAGAAAATCTGCATTTTTCTCAATGCGCTTCTTGACTTCTCCAGACCGCATCTCATTCACATCCCAAGCTGCCCAGGAAAATCGACCGTGTAAAAACGCAGCTTCGGGACTCGCTGCCCAGACAGCGAAATGCCCAGGTAGATCATCTGTACAGAATTGTTAGTCACAGCCAAACTTTCATCATGTAAAATTTTGAAAAGATTGGAGAGAGGGGAGAGAGAGGGAGAATTTGAGTCGGGAGTTGAGTTCTTACCATCGTCCCAAGCGCACGAGGTCTCGTCAAAACCGGCAGATCTACTCGTCTCAGAGAGAATCTGTCCAGGATGGAAGCTGATGATCTGCAATTCCTTCTGGTCAACCTCACCAGCTATCTTTTGCAACAAGTGATGGCCGGCCGTTTTGCTGAGAGAATAGGTTGGCAGAGCGGCAGCGATGGATTTACTGTGCACTGCGGCCGTAGAGACATAAACGAGATGCTGGATGTTCTTACAATCAGCCACTGTGCTTCGTGGCAAGGCAAATATCGCGAATGTAAAATAGAAAAATTAGAGTAAGGTCATACCTTTTGCCTGTCCTCATGACCCTCTTGTTTATACAGCTGCTCGGTGAACTGTAAGAGCGACCTCACGTTGGTTTCATACTGCAACCAAATGTTCTCGACACCTGCATTTAATATCGACTCTTGGCCTCCGAACTTCGCTGCGTTCAGCACGAGGACGTCGACAAAAACGCCATCAGCACGTAGGTCAGACCAGAGAGTGGCAGACTCGACCACGTTTCCAATATCGCAGACTCGCGCATCAACTTTCGTATCTTTGAACTCTCCTGACAGCTTGGAAGCCGAATTGTGGAGAACGTCTTTACGGCGACCTATGAGGATCACTTTGGATGCTGAGGCTGAGGCATATGCTCTAGCGATGGCAAATCCTATCCCGGCGGACGCTCCAGTAATTAGAACTGTTCTTCCGGCTTGGGATAACTCAGGGCAAAAAGGTGATATGGCGGCGTAAGAAGACCTGTGGTATGTCTTTACTATATCTGGAGCCCTCAGAACAAGATTATTGTGCTGTTCGATATCACTCATGGTGAAAATATGAAGAATGAGCGACCTGGAAAGTGAAAATTTTACTAGAAGACTGGCTGCAGATGAATGCTGGCTTTCGTTAGAGGAAATGGGGTCTTCACATGCGGGTTTGGTTACGTTTTATAGACTTTAAATTGAGCTGCGAAAAGCTGGAAATATTTTGTGGGCACTTATCCTGGATTTGGCGCATGTTGATGCGCAAGGTGGGTTCCACAATGGAGTTGGGCCAATTCTCCTCCGCATTTCTTAGTAAAATCCGCAATTCCCAACAAACTCCGCAAAGTTTCCTCTTTGCTTCCGCTGTAGTCTCAGTGCTGTAAACAACACGACTCTAAGATGTGCTAGTTGCGATAGAAGCTTCGGAACCCTTCGATCAGATAGGGTAGAAAAGTACGAAGAAACGGACATGGGCTATCCTCCGCTGGTTATCGAATATTATAAGTCAACCTTAAGTGAGCTTAGAAACTCCGCAAATCCGCACACGCTAGTAGGCTCCACAGAGAAATTCAGAGTGGCTCAAAGGGAAATGCTCAATGTTAAAAGATTCACAGGTATAAAATGGGTTTCCCGTCTTAAATCCTAAAATACCAGCCACGCCCCTCAGCCCCTCGTTACAATCGAAACTGTTCGCATAAGTGTGTAACTCAATTATTACCGCAATATTTTGTTGACACTGTATTGCGACAAACGATGTCAGCTCAATCGCAAACCCTCATTGAGTGGGTGACAGAGCTCAACGATACTTTGTTCATTCAACTGAGTGCCAAACTCGCTCTCAAAGCCGTCCAAGAGCAAGTAGATCCAAGCTTAGTAGTTAAGTACCCGACTCAAACTTCATAAAATCTTGGCAAGCATATCTGACACAGGCGAACTGCCAGAATCAACCACAATACCTACACGTATGACCAATCTGAGCAAGGCCTTCAACACATCCGTAGCTCTGGTACATCGGTTCAAGACGCTTTCTCTGTCATTCTCCAATGGGAGAACCCGGAAAAGCCAGACGGCATCGTGGTAGTTCTTAGCAAAACCACGTTCAAAGAAAAGGCAACGGGCAAGGAGACTAAGAAGACCAACGTGATTCTCTGGGAGGTTAAGTGGATTGATGGAAAGAGGAAGCTTACAAGACAAACAGAGGTAGAGACTGTATGAGAACAAAGTCCGGAAGGTTTGCGATATGTAACGGTTGGCGATGCCTCAGTATGCTCACCTGAGTTAGCCCAGGGAGAGATAGTGTTGAGCAATATTTACATACTGGACGCGTACGCATCAGATTACGTTCCATTCTTTAAACCCCCTCACGCAGAACCAATCAATTATCTTTTACTCAATTAAAAAATGAATAGATAGGTATATCGTGAATACTGATAAGCTTGTTCATTGTTTTGATAAGTTGCAGCATGAGAGGCTTTATTGAGCAAAGATCAAAGAGCAGAGTAGACCTGGTGGACATGGCTTTTATTGACTAAAAGGAAACGGGTAAGACTCGGCGGACTTCTGCTTAGTCAGTCCACGCATGTATGGAGTCTTCTTGCACCTCCCACAACTGTACAGCTCACGTGCTGTACACGTCCGCGGCTTGCGGAGAATTGTGACTAGCGGACTTTCCACCAAACTATAATCCCACCTCCACGATCTTGTCCAACCTATACAATCGAGAATGTACGCCAATAGCGCAAACAATCTACAATCTCCATTTACTCTCGAATTTTATATTTCTAGGCAGAAATAATGAGTCAAAATGGCGAGCACGTCACGTCACAAGTCGTGCCTCGAATGCATCCATCCAGACTAAGCGAAAATGTGATCGCGCATGGCCGAGGTGCCAGCGCTGTGTCACGAGAGGCTCTGGATGTCAATATATCGGTCGAAATCGACATCAACCACAGCGGAGCCCTGATTCTAATGCGGATCAATCTATTCCTATATTGGAGAATTTGGGCGACCAGCCATCTAGCAATTAGCAGTTAGGACAATATCACGCGGAACCAGCGTCGTTGCTCACACCATGCTGGGATGATGTTTCATTCGAACTCCCGAACTATTCCAGCCCTGCGAGTCATGGCAACTTCGTCTTCAATAGCATACATGACGAAGTTGCTCAACAGGCTTCAAGTAGTGCTGATCCAGATATCGTACGAGCCATCACCTCGGATACAAAACTCCAGGCTCGTGTGGAATTCGTAGCGAAGCGACTAGCAAGAATCCCGAGGGTATTCGCACAGTACGGCCACACAATGTTCATCCATCAGATGCAATTCCAGCAGAGCTGTTCCCCGGCTCTTCGGGATGCAATGAGCGCGTGCGCCTTGTATTGCATGAAGGGCGTGGCAAATCAAGCATTGGTATTTGGAAATCTGGAACACAAATGCCAGCAGCTAATTGCAAGCACCAATGCACTTCTCGCCTCCAGAACGGATCTTCTTGCGGCTCTACAAGCGCTCCTACTTTACCAGATGATGCGACTCTTCGATGGCGACATTCGTCTCCGAGCTCATGCAGAAGCCGATGAGGCGATCGCTATCTTATGGGCGAGCCAACTCAGCGCCCTAACGTTCAACACAGAAGAAACTACATTGGCTACGCCAGGCTCAACAGACACGAGTATTTTGATAACAGGCTGCAAGTCGGACTGGCAGTCCTGGCTTGTTGACGAAAGCATCCGACGCACTATTATTACCACATTCATGCTGAAGGGTGTATACAGCTTTCTGAAACTTGGTTACGACAGCCCCACGAGTCTGAATGTATTCTTTATTGCACAAGCAGCGCTTTGGAATGCGCATTCTGCAATCGGTTGGTCTAGGGCTCAAGAAAAGACAGAGCGACACGAGATATGGGTTACGCGTTGGGATGAAGCGATTGCAAAGGCGAAACCAGTGGATCTGGAGGAGCTCGGTGTACTAATTATGACGATGTTATGGGGACCTGAGGCTACGCGGACATGGTTGAGGGAAGATATTACTCTGGAATTTGAATTGGAGATGGGTTAGAACGAGGTTACTCCACATCATGAGATGTGATATAGGGGGTCCTAACTACCTGGCCTGGATGCTTTTTGAGTGGACATCCAGCAGAGGTAAATATATATATTACTAATCCTTTATTAGCACATTAAGTAAAGACAATCTCAGTCGTGGTTCTTCGCCCTGCTCTCTCCCCGGGTTCAGTTGCAATCGCATTAGGCAAGGTGCGTGCACGTACCAGCCACAGTCGGTGAATTGATTGAATTTATTAACATTATTTCTTAGTCCACGACTATATAGCTTTTAGAAAAAACGCGTATTACACTTGATGCAAATTGATAATTTATACTCTTTATGTTTTCTATAAGATATAACAAATCAATAGATGTCTACCTTAAATCAGACCTCAATTATGGAATTATAAGAACCAGCATGAGTCTTATTGGAAAACTCAGCACGAATGGGCCATTGCTTGCATATGCAGGCCTTTTAGGCAGTAAACCCGGCTGCACTACACCGGAATCTGACCACGACGCGTAAAGATTTATCAGCAGTTGTCAGCAGTTGCTGACGCCGCTAACGCCTCGAAGTAGCAACGATGGGCATCTATAGTGGTGTTAGAGTCACTGGCTTTCAGTGGCATAACTTTTACCGACACCCTTCATCATTATGGAAGGCGGCACAGTTCTCATCACAGGCGCTAATAGCTCCCTTGCAATTCCCTCGATAGAATACCTCCTCACAAGATATCCAGAGTACACCGCCGTGTTGACCGTCCGCAATGCATACGGCGAGAACACTCAAAGGCTTCGTGAAACACTATCTGGTTTTCCTGAGGATCGATCAATTATTCATACACTTGACCTTGGCTCATTAGCCGCTGTGGAACGCTATGCTGGTGTCATCAAGGCGGATATTACTGCAGGCAGATTGCCTCCGCTCGCAGCTATAATCTGCAATGCTTTCACTTGGAGCATTTCCGATGGTTTAAAGTTTACTTCGGATAACTATGAGAGTTCAATCGCTGTCAATCATCTTGCACACCTTGCAACAGTCTTGAGATTGTTGGGCTCGTTTCGGCCGGAAGGGGGTAAAATTGTCATTCTTGGAAGCGACTCACATTACCCTGGAAAGAGTGGCCTTGAAAAGTTTCCCCCAAACCTTCCTGATGATTTGGAGCTTCTTGTTCATCCCGCGCCAGATCAAACTGGAGAGGAAATTGGTCGTGGGTTTCAAAGAATGGGTTGTCGAAAGTGGCAGCAATTATGGGGATGTATCAATTGAACAAAAGACTTTCCAAGGTAATACTGGAACCAAATGTTGCCTGAATGTTTGCTTACTAATGACTTAGGACCCATTGTTAAGCAAGATTTCAGCAGTTGCTATGGATCCTGGTGGACTTACAGATTCAAGGTGCATGAGTTCTGGTGTGCCATCTGCATGGTGGTTTCTGATGAGAGGGGTACTGGGTCCATTGCAACCCCTCTTGAAATATCTAGTTCCAACATTGCGCAACACCAAGGTCGCAGCTGCAGATCTGATTGATATCTCAGTTGGGAAAGAGTACCGCAGGTCAAGTGGCTATTATGTGATGTTGAACAAGGATAAAAGCTCGCCAGAGAGCCAGGATGAAGAGAAGCAATTGAGGCTGTGGAAGAAGAGTATGGAGTGGATCAAACTTAGCCAGGACCAGACGCCGCTGCAAGAAATATTCGCATAGATTTTGATAATCCTTGGAATCTAGTGGAGGATCAGCATGGAGTTATATGCAGTGTAGGCAATAGTATTTCCCGTATTTCGTATACGGGTTAGTTTAGTAATACATATCGAGTTTTTTCGAAATACATATGTATATAATATAGAATTCAATATTATTAAAAGTATTCAATATCATTTAGTTATTTAATATTATTATTAATATATTAAAATATTGGAATTTAATATAAAATATATATTCCTATTCAAATTAAACTAGAAATAAGGAATTGCTATTCAATTTGAAATAAGAAATAGAATTTTATTATTTAATTTGAATAAGAATATATATTTTATATTGAATTCCAATATTTCAGTATATTGCTAATATTCTTTAAATATATAAATATATACAAAAGTGGTATAGCCTCCTTTTTATATATATTAGCTGCAATATCAATATACTAATACGCGCCACAGTTTCATTATAGTATACTATTGCCTACACTGGTTATATGCCCGCAATTAGAACCATAATTCGAACATTCTACTAAAGCTCTCCTGTTTCCAAAGGATCAGGTAGCCTGGCAATTACAGCGGATTTCCCCAGACCATTAAAATTGAGACGATATGGCCTTTTAGTTTTTCATAGTTTCGACTCGAGAGAATAATGAGGTTGGAACTCCTAGATCATTTTTTTCCAGCAATTAGCGGCCGAGTCAAGCACGTATCTAAGTAGGCAGAACCAGTGCCGATTCGCAAATTATTCTTGACTGTCAAGATCAAAGGCAATGAGAAGCAACTAACACAAATATGATATTGTTTGGCTGTCAAAATGAGGGGTGATGTGGGCGTTAAGCGATAAGTGGGACTAGAACAACTAGATGTCTATCAAGGATGGTGTTCAGTCGGCTGATTGTAGCACATTACATCGAATCCACCTTCAACATAAATCAATTAATGAATAGATTGCAGGGTATATGTGTAGTAATCTTCCCTGGTATGCAGGCAAATAATGATAGTTTTGAACTTAACATCCGTGATCCTGCATGAATTAATCCACTCGAGGCACAGTAGCTTCAGTCATCATGACTACCGAGTGGTTGTCTAGAATACTATTCTTCTCATTATTACAACTCATCTTCGTTGTGTCCTCACGCAACCTAACATTCTTCTGCCATCCAAACTCCGTTCTGCCAAGATTGAAACTCCGAAAACAAACACATACAACTATGGAAGCCAGGATTGCGGCATTTATCGGGACCCCCGGAGTTTCTAACAAAACAGCATCTGTCATATCCTCAAAATATACTATTGACGAGAATCTTGCTACTTTGTTGAGCGATACAACTACGGAGAAATCGTTCAATCCCGGAATTATCTCCACTGGCATGTTGGACAGCAAAACTTCTTTTTGGAACCGATACTGAGTATACCACGGTCAACAAGTCATTGATCGAGGTCAATCGATACAGTTTCATCCTCTGCTCTGCTCGAAGTCTCAAAATCTCTTTCTGACGGAAAATTTCAGGTCCGAAGCCTGTCGACTACCAGCACAATGTATAAATCCTCCCGATTCAGCAGAATAAGTTTATCTTGCTATTAAAATGACCTCTTTTCATCAGATCCCGTTTGCAATTCGAAGTGGAGGCTACTCTCCTAACTTTCTTGGTCAAGCGTCTGCTTCAACGGAATCTTGATCTCGATCACACATCTTGACACTCTTACTGTCAGCTCAGACAACTCGATAGTGAGTATTAGCCTGAGACTACGACGGGCGCGGTTGAATCAATTGGCGATCAATTCGAAATGCTTAGCGCAGTTCAAAATTCCAGCCTCCCCTACCTATCATGAAGGACTGCTACGCGGACCAACATCCTCTAGCCCAGTATCTACCTACAAATATTAAAGCCATGAAAGAAATTGCTGCAAGATATGACCCTAGCAGAGTATTTCAATTTCTACAGAAAGATGGGTTTTGTTATCAAAAGTATGATTGTAATGTGGCCCACAGGTTTTGGCTTTGGAGGTAAATTTTAGGCATTCAACAATCAACTTGGATTGAAATAAAGAGTCTAGAACAATGTCATTTTGAGAGTAAGACTGCAATATGTATTATGAGCAACTCAAAGCGAAGCTTCAGCGGTGGTGTTCTAGTTAGAAACCTCACGGGCAGTAACTGTATCCCCACTTCCATCTCCACCATCAAACAAGTCGCAACTTGGGAATCGATATTCTATCTCAAATCAGCATATTATCCTTCTTCACCTTTCTCCTTTTTTGCTTCCACGTGTCGTTAAAAGAGAGGAAAACAACTCACGATCAAACAAACTCTCCCAGAAATCTATCTCTCTCACATAACAAAAATCTGTCGTAAAATACCAATACGTCTCATTCGGATTTGGGTTGTCGAAACTATTCACATAGCATTGTACCCAAACACCATGATCCCATTCATAACTCTTGACCAATTGACTTGTTGAAGAGGGGGTACTGTAGCAAGGAGCGTAATCTTCGCCAACTGTAATGTTGAGGAGGTACCGTTTATTAATATCGTTAGACGAGGAAGGGGGCGAGTGCTTAGCGAGAGAGCGATGTGAGTTCTCGTAAGAATTGAGCGGGGAAGATGCACGTTTCTCGGGTGACGTGTAGTTTACTTGAATAAAGCCTACTGGGCCGCAGTAGTCAAGCTCTGATTTATCGGCAGGCTCTTCGAGACCAATTTGTGCCACATAGCAGTTATCCGTGGTTTTCAACCAGGTACTATTTCCGTCGCTGTCAGCTGTCTAATCCGCGGTGAAATACGAAGCAAAGGATTTGAAGACGGAGATATACCTATCATTGATTACGAGATCCCCCAGATCAGTCCAGCAAGTCACTGTAATATCAGTTCCATATTTCAGATATTTGATAACCTCGCAACTCGCGTTATCATCACAGATATTGCATTCGGTATTATATTTTGTGGTTGCAGGAGCTGTTGTTATATGCTCAATAGTAGAATCTTGTCCGCAAAAGCTGAGGTCAGTTTCATCTGTATCTGGTGTTAGTAACATTTAAATCTGAGCTACAAGAATACCTACATTCTCCAGCATAATCAGCGAGGTCGTATTGGGTGATATAGCAGTCATCGCTTGTTCTCAACCACGTACTAGATGTTTTAGTATTCCATATATTTGCTCACATTTGGAATTGAATCTTACCTATCACCATCGATGACTGTACCAGTAGTCCAGCAGATGAGCGATACAACGGTTTCGTAATCGTAGTATTCCTTATTTGTGCAAAGCGAATATGGACAAGTCTTGCATTCAGTTGCTACTCCCCTTTCAAGAGTATTGTTAAATGGGGGTTTAAAGGCGGCATTTGTGGTATCCGCAAGAACCAGAAAGAACCCAAGAATCGGAAGTGATGAAATCATTATTACGATGCCGAATAATCCAACTCAAATTGAGCAATGGAAACTTTTGATAGTACTTGTCAATTATATGGAAGACTGTCTTCTGTTCATCTCAAGTCTTGTTGGAATTGAGACCTCATATATATCGGCATCATGTCAGACTCAGACCAATGTGGAAACCGTTGTCATTCAGCGTTTATTAAGGGCTGTAGCCAAGAAGAAGCTATTGAATCAATCTAATATAGCTTTGAAATCAGGTAAGCTTTAAGCATATTACTGCAGGTTCAATGCAAGTAATGTTGATCAACCCGACTCTACACAGTGATTACCCCGCAGTCATGCAGCCTTGGCAATTCCTGCTAGTCAGCTTTGTTCGCGTCCTCGAATCAGTGAAGAGAAGCCTGATGTAACCTCGTATAGTCATGTAGAAATCTTCAGTGCAGCTCGTGTGCGGCTCGGGAAACCTGGGTTGTCATGAACCGGTAAGTAATTTTCAGGCTAAAAGCAGGTACGAAGTCATCCTTTCAGCGGTGAGGCTGATAATCGTTGTAAAGTACTCCGTAGCACTTCTTGCTTTTGTAAATCAAAAGATCCACAACAACAGCAGTAACCTGTAGCTCACTCCAAAATAATCTGCTGGGATGATTGATAACTGCAGGAGAGCAGCATCCAAGGATGTAAGATGAGAAAGGAAAAAAGCGCTCTAGCCGTGGAAGTGTTGAGTTTTAGAGACCTTTTAATTATCAATAGTGGAACTTCTTTGGAACTTCTTTGGAGAAAACCAATCTGATCGCATGAGAAGATACGTGTATCGTGATATATTAGATCATGTAAATGTCTTGCAGGTTCACAAAGATTGGTATTTGTTTGAACAATAAGTAATAAGCATGGGGGCCAAACAGTGCCCCACAAATTCAATGTCCGTGTCCGTTTGTTTGCCATGATATCGTCGACGACAACCGACATGTAAAGACTTAGGTACTCATCCTTGTTAATTGATACCTCTTGAACTTCAATCCCATAAATATGACAACACTCTCCATCGTACCCAAGCGCTTCAAGCTGATATTTTTTGTCCCGCCATCGGGACTTCCAGCGTGTAAAGCTGCTATCTTCGCCGCCGGAGCTGGACGTTATCCAGGCCCTGGAAATTATACTGAATGTTGTTGGGCTACGACAGGCACTGCTCAATTTCGACCAGGTGATACCGCAAATCCAAATATCGGAACTGTAGGCGCGTTGGAAGAGGTGCAAGAAGTCAGGTTCGAAACTTTGTGTGTTGGCGAGGAGACCATTAGAAATGCGGTTGCAGCTTTGAAGAAGCAAGTTTGATTCTTATGTTATCGTGCTTCTCGTTTCTAATGCGTCTGTTAGAGTTCATCCATATGAGGAACCGGCTTATGAAGTTTATAAGCTGGAAGATTATTAAGTCCGGTGAAGCCTATGCGCTAGCGTTACTGTTGGAGAGAAATATGCAGCGAGCAGAAAGAAGACATCGCTTTACGATCGGACGTTGGTTCCTATGGTCTTGAAATGAATATCTGAGGACAGAAGTGCAGCCACGTTCTAAGAAAAATCCCCTGTCTTTCAGCTTGGGATGAACCAGTTGACAGAATATACCGCTTTATTTTGGCATGATTCTACGTCTTATCTGTCTTCTACACCCACCTCGCCCTGGAGTATTCAGATCCCATTTCGAATTGCAATGATCTACTTCAATGCACTTTTCTTTACCCACTTGTCTCATCTACCTACTTGAACTTTTTGCATTCAAACCACAGTGCTTTATCGTGTATACAGGGTAACATATCGTTCGACTTCTTGTAATTATCAACAAATTGGTAGGCTGCTGGTATTCAATTGCATTTTAGAGCACGATTTGTAACTAGAAAGAACCCAATTACTTGGGAGGCCCTGATGATCAGCATCATTTTTCATTCAAATATATTGTCAAAATTGAACATTCGCAAATGATCAATCTTGAGAGGCTAGTGCCAATGATCGGATCAAGACTCGACATCAATATCAAGACTCGATCATGATACATAGTTTGGCATGATTTTGCCCAAACAGAGAAATGCTCTCTTATCCAATCGATACGATCGAACATCTTCATTCAAGCGACTGTCTATATTCTGTCACCAAGGTCGTAAACTCAGACGCAAAATCGTTACGTTATTGAATGTTTAGCACAGGTAGCGAGAAGCTATCACTCACCTAGTACAACGTCTAACGAAACATCTTTCAATAAAACTATTATTGAATTCCCCGCAATTACTTCGAACTTCTTCCTTCCGCATACTTCCATTGGAGTTTGGCCAATTCCACCATTCAATCTCACCATAAAATCCACCCCAAGCAACTCTCGACTCCCCTCCCCAGCCCATCGGAAACACAAAGCATCCACGAAATCCAAAGCTTCCTAAAACCCACCCACAAACTCACAGCCACTCCACCACATCTGACATGACATCCATCATCTTCAACCGAACTTCCCTCCTCACCAACAGAGCCTCGATTCTCATCAACCACACAATTTAACATAACATCTACAGCACCCCAATCAGACGCGGCATCCTAATCAACGGAACCGAATATATATGTCGAGAAGACATCGCCACCGTCAGCGCCATGATCGCGATTGCGGGGACTACTCTCTGTACCCTCGTGCAGCAAACCATTCTCATCTTCGTGCTGTATGCTCTTTTAAGAGCGAAAAATCGTCTCCGTGAAAATAAGAGGACTGTTCAAACGATGTGGCCGAGTCGGGTGAGTTATAGCAGTGGTTAACAGTTTGATACTTCATCCATAACAACAGCCCCTTCAATAAACTGTTTCCAATCGAAAAAAAATGAAGAAGAAAAATAAAAAAACTCGAAGTCATATCGTACGATTGAAGCAGGAAGAAATTGCATCCATGGATTTTGCCTATCACCCCGGAGCTCGTGAGAAGGAGAGAGATGCAGATCAAGAGAAATTCATTTTCAATATAGACCTCTCAAAATGAAAATCTTCAATACATAAGTCCCACCACTACCCCTGTTCCCTTCCTCTCTCGCCCTCTCTCCAACCGAGCCACCCATCCACACAGAAAACCTACCCCATACTATTATTTTTCACAATCCTACTTTATCCATCCATCCATGCATCCATGCATCCACCCATCCACTCATCCAAGAAACAAAACCAACATCCAGAACCCTTACAACCCTATAATCTCACAAATCTACAAATCTACAGACCTACCTATATACCTTTAAGCTCATAAGTCTACAAGCCCACCAGCATTGAAAACTCAAGCTCAAGGTATAGATATTAAGATCCAAACTCCTCCGTATATACCATACCCAATGAATATCAAATTTCCTTCAAAATGAGAAACAAAAACATATTCGCTCATGACGAATTCGCTTAAAGTTCCTATCATATATAGGCCAAATACACAACTACCTGGACACTTTATGATCACAATAAAACCACACAGGTATATATGTAACAATCTTTTATTTCCCATGTATTACATCGTATCTTTGAAACGAACCGGTTACGCCCCCCGCCGAATCCCTAGAAAAAATAGAAGATACGAAGCCTCATAATTCATCCTTGAATATTTCCTCGCTACCTTCTTCACTATCTTCATCTTCATATACATTATTATCTTTCTTATCGCCATACTTCTGAGATTCCCCCTCGATAGGTTTTCCGGGTCCCTTTTGATGGCCTTGCCCTGCATCATCCTCGACAATTCCCAAGATTTCTCTAACCTGTCCTGGGGCATCAACAACCTCAATTTTCCAGCCCTTGTCACCTGCCAGCTTCTTGACTTCCTCTTGTAGCTTTTCAATCATTTTCGGGTCGAGATCCATTGATTCCAGTGATTTCGGACTAATGACTTCGACCTTCCCTCCCTGGGCCTTGCTTTTGCCGCGTGCAATGATTTCTGTCCGGCTTCCGCTCTCACCATCTCCAAAGTCCGGGGGGATAGGTAGACGTTGTCCTTCTTTACCGACGAATTTACCTGCGCCGACGGTCACACCGCCAATTACTATGGGATTTTTAGCGTAGGCCAAGGAGGGTGAAGAGGTGATAAAGTTGGAATCAATATGGGATTGGGATTGTTGGTGGGCTACAGGTTTGCAGACTATGCTGTTGGCTTTCTCTGCTTTAGGTGGCATGAATGCCACGTCGTCGCAAAGGCGGGGTGTGTATACAACCATCAGGTATGAACATGTGGTCATTTCCTTGATATATCCAATACGATCCTTGACATTAGGGTTGCAGTGAAATTGAACTTCGACTTGGCGGGGCTTGCCTGTGAGATCGCAGATTGTGCCACCTTCCATTTTCTGAACGAGGTAACGCATGTCGCCCTTGACTTGTAATTCTGTTTTTGGTGATTCCCCATTTTTGGGTGCCTCATGCGCTTCTATTTGATTGCCCCATTCATCCTCTTTATTCTTGCTTTTTGGTGATGCCTTCGCCTTTCCAAGAACGAATTCCTGGGCTGATGGATCCGGTTGGGGTGGGAATGCCGCCTTTCCGGGTTGTGCGGGCAGTTGATGAAATTGTGTGATTTCGTTATTGTAGCAGAACGAATATGACCACCATCCAGACACGAAATATAGACAGTTATTCTCCAAATCTTGAAGCAGTTCCCAACCACGATCCGTTGCTCTAGCAAGCTCTTTTTGTTCAGCAGCGCGAGCTTCGGCTTCTGAGGTTTCGTTTCGCGGAGGTAGAGAAACTATAGGAATTGTGCATACATGCGCTTCACCATGTAGATACATGAGCTCGTGGGTTTTCTTGGGAGGCTCGGACTCATGATCGGTGGAACCATCTTGAATAGGGTGTTGAGATGATTGTAGGCTTTTAAGATCTTCTTCATTACCTGAAAATCTGATTGGCGAATTGGGATGATTGGCGATAAAATATGCTTCCTCTTGAGAAGGAAATTCATTTGAAAATACTACTTCATACTATTGTTTCGTGAGTTTTTGACGACTTTATATTAGAATGGCTTATGAATTCGCTGGGCTTGCGCATACCTGTGGAAATGCAAGCAAGTCATCGTGAATACTGAACACATTTTGACTAGCTAATGTTATTGAGGCTATAGCTAACAAAGCTGGAATTGCTTTACGCATCATGCTGTATGGCAATTGCGAATTCCAGATGGACAAAAATTCATTGATAAGGACGAAGTTCACAAGCTATGATCGCATTTCCACAAAGCTGTCATCATCTTCTAGGCTCGAGCTTCGTAGGTACGACTCTAAGAGTGTGCTAGTGTCGCAGCGGGGTTCGGATAAACATATTCATTTTTGACCGACAGGTTTCTCCGACTGTCACATGACGTGAACTCACTGATTTGACACAGAGGAAGTGATCTTCTTTTCGCAATTGAATGCATGCATGTATGAACGTAGATTATACCGAGAATAGCATTTTTGACCGGCCAACGGTGCGATATGCAACAAAATGTAACATCTTTTAACAATCAGAAGGGTGATGCAGTTGACGTCACGTGCTATGGTTCAAAAGAGTCAAACGCAGGTTTCGAGGAGTCTTCACATCCAGTCCATAGAGCCGTTGGAAATCTTGACTTTGAAGTCAAGTTAGAGCCTGGGCATCAATCCATTTACCGGGCATCGCCGATGGATAGAGATCAGGCTCTTTACAAGGCATATCTGCTCAAGATGACAAGATCACATTTCCCTTTTCTCTCATGCCGTGGAAGGTTGCATTCCGACCATCGACTCGGGTCCAGAACAAAGGTACAATATACTCAATAATCAATGCAAAGTGTCAAAGCCAAAAACACATCCGGCAGATCTAACAAACTCGCAGATCAAGGCCAGAAAAGGCCAGCGAGATGTTGGGCACCATAACATCGTGCAGTCCACGCGAAAGAGCTTGCAAAAGGGCGTGATGATTATGCTACGGGTAACGCAATGCCTCCAAAGCCTTTTCGTCCCTTGCTTATACGGTATACAGCGTACCTTGGTCTGACAACATGGGAGATGGGAAAATGCCGCGTATTCGTGGGGTTTGCACACGGCTATCACAAACAATACCTATGAATGATGGCTACGTCCTGGCAATACCATATGGGCCAAAACCATTGCCCGATATGCAGATGTAATAAAGCGGCTACGCCCGACGAGAGAGCAGGAATTTGTTTTGTTCGTGTAATCATTACTGATCTTACTTACCAATCATCAATTGTAGTAGTGTAGGCTTGGGTTGATTGGGAGAAGATATTTCAGCTTGCGTTGTTGGTTACAAGTTACAACGCAGAACCGAGTCAACCGAGAGCCCGTTCTGAAGAAGCGAAAGGATACCTAGCATGATGATAATTGTCATCGGCCGTCATCTCCATCACCCATCAACGATCAAATAATCCCGTCCCCGAGAATAACCCATCACATCACTGATGGCTGATGGCTGATGGCTGACGGGTGGACATCAAGGTTATTTGAGTAAAAGTGGTCGAGATTAAGGCAACCTTGGAAGTTGTAATAACCTGGGCGAACCATCTTCAGACAGTGTGATGTGTTGGTTCGTATAATCACCGTACGTGTCGAGTCTGTGGTGGAACACGTTTACGAGGTCAAAGAGAACGAATAGGGAGAGTGGATTCTCAGCTTCCGACTCAGATTGATCAAATGTTTCCGAATCATAATTACCTATGATTGGCATAAATTGTAGTATAAAATTTATGAGGCGAACTAGCGAGTTTGGTTGCCTTGCCTAATCTTCAAGGGTTGATCTGAGCTAGCTCGAGGCTAGCTTTGAATTTTGAGTTTGGAGCTTTGAGTTTAAGTTGCTTGCTTGGAGCATTTCTTCCAATTTCAATACTTTACTAGGTACCTACCTAGTAGTCATCAGCCAGTCGGGATGAGCCGCAGTTTGACAGGAAGATCATTACTCGTTGCTTCACTTTTCTTTCCTTTCTTCTTCCTCGTCTAATTCTAGAAAGAGTTTAAAAGGGGATTTGTGATGGTTGGAAATGAACCACGACCCTTATTATTTTAATTGGCTTTCTAAGGGAGATGAATGACAATTAATATCTCTCTCTTCTCGAATCTCGGTCGATGGGTATATATACCTATATATAGGTACTCGATATATACAGATGGATATATAGCATGAACAAATACTACCTATAGTCTACAAGGAATGAGATGCTTTGATGGACGTGTCAAGTCTTGAAACCGATTCGGCTTCATCGAGCGATATAAAAAGATTTCGAAGTATGGGGATTAGTCATGACCAGAAGGTACGAGTAGATAGGTAATATAAGAGGTGAAGCTTTGAATTTTTGATTGATGTTATGATTGATGATCTTCTATTATAACCAATAAAACGAGAGGATTTCAATACGAAGTAGAAAGCAATATTTATTACTATTACTAACTATTAATGATTATTATTATTATTGTTGTTGTTGTTGATCATGAGACAAATCTAAGCATTTTCAATAGACCAATGCGAGTAGTGGCTATACGTCCAGGTAAAAATTGAAGTCGATCATTAGTTCTAGACTGAGTACATGACGACTGACGTACATAGCGCGAATGCCCTCAAAAATATATATCCTCATGGGAAAACCATGGATGAATGATGGATGACATGATTACTTATCAGCACGTGGGGGAGTGTCAAACGGAGAATGTCTTGCTTCTATCTGCTTGGCCTCTGAGGTTATACCAGCACATAGGAGAGCTTTTGGTGTTTACATAGCTACCCAGTCAGTCGTACCTCCAATCTTTCTTTTTTGTTTGGTGTAACTTCATGAATCCTCATGTAACTTAACTTCCTGGTGTGTGACTTTCTATGTTGTCAATCTCTATTTCGGACAGATTACAATTACGATGTACCGAGAGAGAGGAAGAGATGTTCTGGAGCAACGTATTGAACTACGAGACCTATGCAGCGTTAGCACTATTGGGAATCTACCGCAGCAAGCCTCCCACCTCCCATCCCTCCACATTATCATCATAGCCATGATAGATATGATGATGATCATAATAACCATAATAATAACAATAACAGCAATAACCACAAGAAATCGATCCACCATAGAATCTTGAACACGCCCCTCACTGGCCCTCATTTCCTCATCCCCTCGATCCTCACTCACGACTTTCAATCTTCATCCCACCACAGTTGACTAGAATCAAAAACAACCACACGCAATGCCACACCCAATGTCACACATCCACACATCCAGACATATATATCCACAGCAAACTTCATCTTTTCCTAATATAGTAAAGTAGCTAAGATGATCAAGTCGTTATCATTATTTTAATCCTTATCCTATCTCTTATCCTAGTATACCAAGAAAAATCATACATCCACCCATACATCCACCCATACATCCACTCATCCACTCCTCCACTCATATACTTCCAAAAAAATAAAAGAAAAGGTCCCATACATCCACCCATACATCCACCCATACACCCACCATACATCCATACATCCATCTCATACATCGGTATATCCCCCCCCCCGTACTCATCATATCTTCTTTGGTCTGACCTCGAAACATCCTAATCTGTTTAATCTGTTTGATTTGTCTCGTCATCAGAGTCATCCCAACCCACACTTCATCCGTTCTTCTGCCGTGTCATCCATATCCCGAACTCAATTTCATATGAGCCCCATCTTACCATGTCGCGCTGCCCATACAATACATAGTTCGCCTTTCCCATTTCCACAATCTTAACTTCATTATTTTCGCCTTACTTTTATGCTTCCCTATCTTCCCACGCAACCATAGTATCTTATCAAATATTCCAAACGAAGAAATATCATTACCTTCACGGTTCGTAACATCGTTACCTGCATCCTTCATCCATACGTATGTCATGGATTCTCATGTTCATCATTCAACTCCTCTTCACTGCACCCGCTACTGTACGAAATATGCTGGTAATCATGCTCTTTACTAACTACGTGAGGCTGCAGACAACGTTGCAAGCGACGACACAGTCTCCACTATCATACACCAGCAATTCGAAAAGTCCTTGGAGACTACCTAACAAATTTCAATAGACACTTGCTATGTCGTCTCAGTTAAGACTCAATACTTCGGTAGATCAGGATCAACTTCAATTCCTTCTGGCACAGCAAGAGCAAATTCAAGCGCAAATCGCATCCCTCACATCCGGCTCGGCGTCAGCATCGTCGTTTCCCCATCACAGATCCCCGATATACAAACAACAAACACAACGAAGACACAATGTTCCCCGAAGTTTGTCAAGCAGTGGAGCTCCCATGGCCCGACACCCGTCTTCTGTAGGAGTCCCCTGTGGTTTTCCTCCCTGAGCTGGCTCTAACGATACTTAGGACCGGATGGAAGCAACCGGAATATCGCGGACAATATCTCAACAATCTGAGCCCGTCATGATGCGAGCAAGCTCAATGAATAGTGCATCTACACGCTCCGGAAGATTACCATTTACCCAGAACGGCGCGATGCCCCCTCCACTCCATAATGATCTCCGCCGAGGAAATCCCGCCCTCGAAGCTTGGGTTAATCAAGATCAGCCCTACAGCTCTTACACCTTCTCGCATCAAACCTCGGCTTCCCCCCTTCAGCGCTCTATGTCTCAACGGAAACCGGAATTAGAACAAGTTCTCGAGGTTCCCCAAGGTTTTGAAAACCCCGCCGACTTCCTCTTCCGTACCGGATTTACTGGTGTCCCACCTACCCCAGTTTTCTCGATTACGCCTTCTCCGGTATCGATGCACTCTTCAACACCGATGCAACTTCAACAATCGCGACAGTCATTCAACATTCCTAGCACGCCTACAACCACGACTCTTACTGATGCAACTACATACACAAGTAACATGAGTCGACAAAATAGTCTCTTTAACGAGCCTCTGGTGGAAAGTATTGAAATGATGAAGTTCAATTCGAACAATTCCTTTTCTACAGGTATCAATGATGATTCTGTTTATCCCGTTGCTCCTCAGTATAATTCTACTCATCATAGTCGTCGGTCTTCCGACGAGGAACAAACTCAACTACTTGTTGGGGCTGGTGGTGTTGGCAATGATTCTCAGTTTTCTCTTTCTTTTCCTAGTACGGAAGCCTTTGCTCAATCTCAAATTTCTGCACCTTTTGCTCAACAGATGGAAAAGTCACAATCGATTGAAAGTGTTTCATCGAGTATGTCATCATCATCTCGTAATAAGCAGCGGCTACAAGTTAGTAACATTGCCGCTGCACGACCACTTATGCCTAAGGGTGGTGGTGAAGAGAATTCGATATCACGAGTCAACTCATCACAATCAATGACCCGGCTCGATTCGAAAGATGTGACAAATGATAAGATTGCTATCGAAAAGCGCGCTTATCAGCGACCAAAGCACGAACGCGTATTCTGCAAGTTATGTGATGAACACCCTGATGGGTTTCGTGGCGAACATGAGCTTCGAAGACATTGCGATCGACAACATAAGAGAATGGTGAAGAAGTGGGTTTGCATTGAACCGCTGAGCAGTCAAGGACGCGAAAAGCCCGTATTGCCACTCTCAAAATGCAAGGCGTGCGCGACACAGAAAAAGAAGTATGGAGCATACTACAACGCAGCTGCACACCTTAGAAGAGCGCATTTCAAACCCAAATCCAAGGGTAGAAACAAGAATAGTAAGGTTGAGGAGTCTCAAAAGCGTGGTGGAAAGGCTGGAGGAGATTGGCCTCCAATGTCGGAGTTGAAAAATTGGTTCAAAGAGGTGGAAGAGCCAGCAGCAGATTATACTCAACAAGACGATGAGAACGATGATGAAGAGATGAACGAGAATATGCTTAACAGTCTGTCGCCAAATCATGACGCACCAACTGATTTCGATAATGTCATCAACAAAGTTCCGATTCACCAAGTATACCCGTCGATCAACACACAAAACTTTGCCAGCAACATCAACTTCGACAATTCGATGCAACAGAACATTGATTTATCAATGAACTATGCAGGTCAAACAAACTTTGACTTTTCTTCTTTTCCTATGAATGACCCATCAGTGGCATTCTTTGATCCTGTTTCTTCTCCTCAAGTTTTTGATGATCAATCACTTGTTGGTGTCAATTCTGTAAATTTTTCTTATGATCCTTGTTTGTCTTTCAATTAGGTATTATTCCTACTCTGTTCATACTGGTATGGTTCGAGTAAGGTGTGATTACAAATTTTCCTTTTTTTCTTCCTATCTGCCTTCAGTCATACTTTCGACAATTCATCAATTTGGTGAGTTGAATTGATGAATTGTCGCTTGGCGTCAGATTTCTAGATAGGCAGGCGTATTTCCATTTTCTTTCTTCTTTCTGTATCTTTTTCCCTCTCTTGCCCCTTTCTTCGTTAGGAAGTCACGGCTGTTATGAGTAATGAATTCGATATATCTGGTGGTGGTATCTTTCTTTTTTCCTTTCTCTCCTCGTTTCTTTTTCATCTCTTTACCTGCGTTCAGGTTTTTGGATTGGTTTTGATTTTGTTGGGGGTTTCGGTGTTTGGGAATCGACAACGAGAGTTGTCGTGGTTAGGATTGGATGGGATGGGACAGAACAGGATGGATGGATGGATGATTGATTGATTTACTGGATTATACCTACAGTAATAACCTTGATTATATACAAGTTTATTTTATCTGTTTTTTGTTTTTTTGATTGCTTGTTTTCTATGGCATGAGTAGACTTTGGATTTCTGATGATGGGGAAGGGAGATGAAGAGGAGATGAAGAGAGTTGAGTGGTGTAGTAGTGGTTGGAGTCAGGATTGGAGAGCGTCTATGCCATGACGATGTGGATGTGGAGGCGATGAAGATGAAGATGAAGATAGAAATGAAGGTAGATGTGTGAATAAGATAAACGACAAATTTATAGATACTTAATGATAATACAAATTGATTCTTTTATTCATACAGGGGATTTATGTTGTTTGATTGTTCTTGATGGAGGTAGTCTTCGTTTGTAAAGTTTGGTCTGTGTGGGTGATTTGAATTTGGGGAGAGAGGGTGGGAAGAGGATGGCGATGGGGAAGGGGAAGGGGAAGGGGAAGTGGAAGAGGAGGAAGTAAATGGAGATGGAGAAGTAGATGATAACTTAGTTAGGTATCTAGGCATCATCTTGTTGAGCTGCAATTTCAAAATCATCATATCATTCATACATATCATTATGAAATCACATACATGTATGAGATCAAGACCAAGATTTGATTTGATTCGATTTTCACGATGATGCATGAGTGGGATTATTTTTTTGTTTTTTTTGTATTTTGTAATTTTGTAATTTTGTAAATTCAACGAATCTCCGCGTTAGTTTTAGAAGCAGAGGAAGAGACTAGTAAAGACAAGTAAAGAAAGGAAAGAAAAGGAAAGAAACGGAAATATGAACCGCGCCGGCTATTCTAGTCTTTGATCATTGATCATTGAGCTACAGTATCGGTGGCAAATATGAAAAGAGAAAAAAAAACATTCATCTGAATAGTTATCCTTCCGTCCATTTATCCGGCAATTCATCCATCGTGTACTAAGCAACAGGAAACAGGAAACAGAGAACAGAAAACACATTGTGTGAAGGTAACGCAAGGTGTGTCTGTCATCGTGTATCGTGTGTCGGAATCATGGCTGTGTTGATTGAGACTTGATGAGAGATTGGATTGCCATGATTAGAATTAGAGATGTTGCGAAGCTCGAGAGGTGGAGTGGAGTTGGAGAGGGTCGAGAGGGTCGAGAGTGAGTGGAGTGGAGTAGATAGAGTAGAGAAGAAGTCATGAGATCTGGAGGTGCGCGTACATACAGATACACATACATACAGATGATAAAGAGATTGTGTGGGAATTTGAAGATGGAGGTGGTAGACGATGCGGTGTGGGTGTGTGTGTGTGCGTGATTCGTTCCGTGGAGTCTTGTGAGTTGAGTTTTTTGCTTGTTGGTGGATTGATTGCAGCGGTGGGTTCGAGGATGCCACGGAAGGAACAACCATGGTTCGAGTTTCGACCGCAGGACACCTTGTCCGACCTTTCCAACTGGTGTGGTGCGATCTCACTCCACCACCACCAGATTTCGAGTTCCTGGAGAACTGGGACACAACCCCCAATCTCCCTCATATACCTTAAAAAAACAGCCCGCTCCCAGGGTCTCCAGCCAAATCCTCCGAATATACCATAATACAACGCCAGCCCAGTCCCAGGGTCCCCCAACCAATATCCTCCACATATACCATTGTTACAAAAACCCTGCCATGCATAACGCCAATTCCCCCACGATCCACTAAAGAATTAAATACAATAGAATCCTGCTTCGCATTACTAGAATCCCTAGAGAACCGCGCCGACCCTGCCCATTCCTCCACTAAGCGAGTGATACGTACCGTTCGTACAGTCCTACTAGGTACACGTATTTACATCCTGATGGCATAATAAGGCGAGGGAAAAAGCAACGATTCTCCTCACAAGTGCCCGTAAGGCCACCAAAGTTTAACGGTAGGATGGATCTTGATCGGTGTGGGTCATGTAATAGACGTCCCACCCGTCTTCATGGTTCCAACCCCACTTGGACTTGAAGGTTTTCTTTCTGAAGGGAGCTACCCCGTTCTGCACTCGCCAATCCCGAATCAGGCAATACTCTTCATGAGTAAGGCGAACCGCCTTCTTTGTTCCAGCCGGGAGGCCTTTGTAGGTGGGCAGCGGCTTGTAGTCAGCCCCGCGTGCCATCTTCACTTCGTCCTCGGTGCAACAGGGACGACCGAGAAGGAACTCCTTCCGGTGCTGGTACGCTGGGGTACCGCCGGGACAACGCGCGATTGTGTCGTCGATTCTCATCTTGGCCACATTGCGAGGGCGAGGCTTCTTAGCAGCAGCTTGGCGACGAACGGGTGCCATTGTGAATGATGACTATAAAATGACTTGTATTAGCAAGGTCCAGGTCTATTGGTAGACAAATGAATGTTAAGAAGAATATCGAAAGACGAAAACAATACTTGAAACCAAAGAGGTCAAGTAAAGCTCTTGGTTCGAGATGATTATTAGGTTGGATGGCATCAAAACTTGAAGTTGTTGGATTTCACTTGAAAGAGGTAGATTTGAGCTTGGAGCTTCTCGATGCGTAGCACGAACTCGCAAATTGAGCAAAGCCGCCTAAGCAAGGCTGACTGACAAGTTCCAGGTTTCAAATTTCTCTCGAGGAACCAGCGGTACAAAGAGGAATAGAGAAGAAAGTGTTTATCTGGTGCTATTCAAAGCCAAGTTTCAACCACAAGTTTGACCAATACTGCTATATGCAGAACAGATCAAAATGAACCAAAAGTTGATCTTTCTTCTGAAATGTAGGAGATAGGATGGGAAGTGTTGAAGGAGAGTTTTTCCGCTCTAGCTTGAAGTACAGTCTCAAGTGGCACATTGACTTACACTGCTTTACACAGATGAAATCACAACTGCCCAGCTGCTGTCCTCTTCTCAAGATAAGAGCCATCGGATGTAAAGTGAAGAAAAGGAAGTCTCTAAAGCTGTTTGCAGAGAGGTTTCAGTTGGCAAAATGACTGATACTGCCATAGGCAGAACAGATCAACGTGAGCCAGCTGCCAATCCTCTTTGAAAACGCAGAATGAAGGACAGAATTTCAAGGAAGATAGTACTTTTGGTGCTCTGAGATGTGCAGTCTCAACTGGCACAACGAAATGCGGTGCAATAAGCAAAGCAGATAGCGCGCTTTCAACTTCCTTGCTGCTCTGGTGCAATATGGATATTGAGTTGCACAGAATAGGTTGAAAGCGCGCAATATTTAAGCTTTGCCAGTACAATGCGGGAGATTTTGAGGAAAATAATGAAGAGAAGAGTTTGAAGACTTACAAATTGTGAGAAGGCAACGATGAGAAGGTTGTGAGAAGAAGACTGTGAAAAGACGATTGCGAGAGACAGCGAGAAGACGAATGTGAGAAGACGAGAAGTGAGCAAAGATCTTGTGGTACAAAGATGTTCTGTATCGTCGTTATAAGCTTGCAGTTAGTTAAAATCCATCAAGACAGGAGCTCCCAGGAATTTTACTTACATTCGTAGTTGCGCGGTTCGGTGAAAGGAAAAGGAAAACTCGAAGTGTCGGGAGGGAAATATAGGAAAGTGCGTTGAGCAAGTTTTTCCTCGGCTAATAGACAATTTCTATTGGTTTTCCAGAGGAGACTTCACAAGTCAAGCTCCTCGGATCATTCCGAGCCGGTGTCCACATGAGTTTAATTTGAGGACAACAAGGTTCGGAGGCTCTGAGGCTCTGAGTCATTTTGGAAAGGCTGTGTGTTTCTTTGTCATCACTTTGGATGCTTGAATATCTGCAATATTAAACATCATCTGAGTTGAAGTTGCTGTTTGGTAGAAGAATAGGAATTAAAATCATCTTTTACAGAAGCTATTTTCTTGTTCAAGAAAGGGAGCCTCTAGATATCTATATTGAACAGATACAGCTCACTCAATAACTACTACATAGCCTCTTTCCCTTGGTACATTAATGGAGAGTTTCAACCAAGAACATTACCCCCCCCCCCCCCCACCACTCGAGAATCTTGAAGTCATCTCCGAGGATGATGATGAGTGAATATGAAAATATTTCCCTGCCATCTTTTGTGGCTTTTCTACAACTCTAATTCCATTAGATATTTCAATGGATAAGTATGTACTTCATATTCTTGGATTTCATAGAAATCTAGCAAGATGGTTGTGTATTGTTAGGACACATTTGAGCGTTTTTGAATTCCATCCTATCATCAATCTATGGCCTTAGCACCAAGATACTTCTAGAAACTCTTGGAAAGAAAAGGATGAAAGCATGTCACAACCAAACTGAACTAATCAAAAGTCTCCGTTCAACCCAAAGTGAATACTGCTCAAAGGTCTGCAAGGCAACAGCATCATAACAAACACAAAATCAAGGCGAAGCAAAAATTCTTTTTAATAACAAGTCAAATTATTTTTAAAAGGATTATTTCAAAAACTAGTAAAGAGAATTTTTCCAAAACTTGGTTTGGATCAAGTGAAAACAGTGAATCTCTAGCTTGTGTTGAGACCATCTTTGGGAGGGCATTTGTTGAACTCGTAACCACAGTTTCTTATGTGATCTTTAACGACTTGCAGACACAAGGTCTTTAGTTCTCACCTCTACATCCACCAGAAGAATGAAACACTAGAATATCCATTACACTTGCTGTGTGTTATAGAAGTGTAGAAGGAATAGTTATGATATACTCAAGAGCCAATGAATTTCTAGAAACACTTTAATACTAGTCCAGAAGTATCACAGCACTACTTCAAGTCCAATTCTGTACTATGCTGTTCTTCTGTTTTTCTGGTATCTTCTTTCAGCTAATTGTCACCCAAGCTTCCGAGAAACCCAACATCATGTAGATGTATATGCCTTCTGGCCTGGACTGTCAAGGGAATACCAATTTGAGAATAGTGTTAGCAGACGCTCCGAGTCTTGTTTGAAAAGAGGTAGTGCTGTATTTTGAATAGAGATGAGGTCTTTTGAGTTTAGTTGGAAGTACCTAGGTAGTTAGTCAAAGCCAATCGATAATCTGACTAGTTCGCTCACAATAATTCCTGTACATCCGAGGAAACTGCGGCCCTGGCCCGGTTTCAAGCGACTGTTCGCGGCTAATAGAAACCTCCTCGTAGCCCTATCATGCCAACAATCGGGTGCATGAGCTCCCGCACATCAGTCGCCGGTAAGTCACTGCTGCTTCAGAAATCGATTCAATATATCTCGCATGTCGGTATATAACGAAGCGACAAGTCACCTGGCTCCCAGCCAGATGCTAAACCTATCGTTTTGGAACAAATGATTTGGGCTGTGAGCCAGCAAGCTCCCCTGAAGCTCTCATGCAGTACCAGTTGGAAAGAATTATCCAAAATGCACAATTAGCAGTCTCGAACCAAACGTTCGTAGTGAATGACAGGATTCTAACATTCTGTCATGTTCTCGAGCCGAAACATCGGAAGCTTTCTATACTCCTTTCTAGAGAAGACTTGAGTGTTACAAATAGCTCAGTCACACCTTTGCATACTTTAGGCTCTATCGCTTGACGACAGGAGTTACTCAAGGCGCAAGAAGCAATGAAAGATGCAATACTGGTTACATTCTTCCAGTTGAACAATGTGGTTTCATCCGGGTGCATCTATCCATCTTCAAATATCATACCGAAGTACGGAAAGTCGTTGGCTTTTGAAAAAGCGTTGACATCCATAGCCAAAAATCTTGATCGTGATTGGGCTATGGATAGAATTTAAGGCAGCCAGCTGTACATTGTATAAGTATGTCAGTAGCGAGAATACCAATATTGAAACTCACTCATGATATGATGGCCGAATCGATTAGACTCGCGGTTGTCTCACGATAAGCGAGAAAGCATCTGAGCATTTGAAGTTATTTGAGCTCGGCTCGGGCCGAACCCTGTATCGGCATAGGCATCGGCATCGGCGCCGCAAGTTTTTCATCATTTAGACGTCGATTCGGCACATGAGTTCTGGCATTTAGCCATCGCATCGGCACAGATATTTTGGTGTGGTTCAATTTGAATTAGCCTGTGACTAAATCGCCAAGACTCGTGCGACATTATGCTGATTATAACCGGCAACATCTGATTTTCGATCCTCCACTCAAAGTTGTTGATCGTGTTGGCAGCTACGCCTTCTTCCCAACGTAAAGTAGATGCTGATATTCTTGCATTCCTACAGCTTTGGAGAAATCGATTTGGCTCCTATTTGCAGTGTTCGTGTCTGCTAAATGTAAAATAGGTGTTGGAAACTTCTGCTCACTCCAAATTTGACGCTCACAAACCAAATGATTGAAGGGTATGGCTGCTTTTCACGAGAGCATCTGGGGAATCTTAGCTTTAGAAATGAGGACTTTCGAATCCAAGCATTTTGATGGGTGACGTAGGTATCTGCAAATAAGAATTCGTGATGGCCGACCAAATCATCTCCTTGGAGTAACACCTGTGAAGCTCTCCTCGTGCCAATTCTCGTGGCGAATAAATTTCAGGACCAAAGTAGCGAGAATAAAACAATTAATTGATATAAGCTTTTCATGTTCCCTTCTTCTCCTTACCCTCAAAAAAGACGCATTCATCTGACGTTGAATTTATGTTTTGCATTGGCAGGGAAGAACAACCAAAAATTACAATCTACTCCTCATCTAGAAATACCTAGGTACGTACTAGGTAGTATCTACTACACACGCAAGTTAAATGCTGAGTCATTCGGCTTTTGACTGTAACCTTCCACTCGACCTAGATTCCATAGATTCTAGGTTAGCACATACATAATCTCATTCAATAGAATCATTAAAGTCAACATTACTTTCTGACGATATTTATTGATGATCGACTGTAATGCTTATAGGGACTCGTCTTCCGTTTCGACACATTACTCGCCCGTTATCCATCTCTCTAGTACACATCTTGTCTTAGAAACTGATTTACTTGGCGGGCTCCTCAAATGTAACGACAACTGAACCATACAACTAGCCAATATGTGCTAGGTGGGTTGTAATGCCTTTGGTAGAAACTTTTCTCGTATAGTAGCGCAGGATTTCCACAGCTGTAAACAAACTGCAAAGCTAGTGTCACCCGTATGTCACTGTATATCACTGTATTTTGTCAGAGCTTAAGATTTCGAATAATCTGATCCTCGTACAGATAATAGCATTAAATTTTCTTCTCTCCTGAATGAATAATACAGGGATTGAATTGGGATCCAGCCATCCAGGTGATGGAGTTTCATTGCGATTCGGAATTTGATCCATGGGTTATAATGATCTTGAGCTATTTCCACGGAGAAAGATCAGACGAGTTGAGCTGCCTTCGCTACACCAGAATGTGCCAGTGACATAGTATTCG